TCTACCTGCGCCACCAACCCCCCCTCCTCTCCATCTCCCCCACCACCCCACCCTCTCTCCCCTCCATCGCCACATATTTCTTCCCCCACCCAACTCCCCCCCCCCCTCTCCTCCATCCACGTCACTACCCCAGCACCACAATCCGGCGCGCTCAGTTTCGGAGAAGAGCAAGGCGGCGAGGCTGACGGTACTGGCGAGACTGTGGCAGAGCGTCCTCAAATGCAAGAAGATCGGGAGGCCAAGAGACCCAGACAAGCATGGCACTAGTGCTTTTACTGTTAATGAGGAAGGCCGCTGAGGAGAGGCGACGGGGTCGATTAATTCACTCAAGCGCTGCATCGGCTATGAGGAGTGCGGACGATGGTGTTTTGTTATGGCATCTGTCCACGTTCCAACTTTCGCTACGTAGCTTCTCACGGTCACCTGCTACTCCACCTTTTTACACCACCTTACCACGGGCCACCTACTACTCTATAGAAGCACAAGATGTAGGGTGATGACACAGTCTCTCTCTAGAGGCGAATCTAGCACTAATGAGTTATGAGAACAAGACTCCACCAAAAGACACAGAAAATAAAATACATGAATGATTACAAATACTAAAAGACAAGGGTTTAGAATCACGAGAATAATCCTCTCATAAGATCAACAATGGTACGACACGTGCAGCAATTGTATATGAGAAAATATCTAACTCAGAAACAACACAACTAAATGGAAAATCACTCCACTTACAAACATCAATATTCGAAAATGAACGAATGAGAGAAATCACAAAGAACTCCATATAAATCGCTCTCCACGCTGCCACCTGGTCACGCCACCCTTACACCACCACCCCCTACCGTCACGCCACCTATAGAACAAGTAATGAACTCGCCGCCCACACCCATTTATTGAATATTAGGATGATCGCACACAGAACATGCATACAGATATAATGTAGTAGTGAGTGGAAGAATGGCGTCAGTAGAGATATTAATATAGAGACTAATCATTGCTCTGGTCCCGACACGCCAAAATCCTAATTCAGGAAAATGTGAATTTGTATGACTTTTACTTTGTTTACTGTGCTGTCACTGTTAATATTTCTGGTCCCTCGTTGCATTATTACCGTTGTCTTATTGATGTGTCTTCATGTGCTTTTATTGTGTTTGAGTGTGATGCTGGAATAGTGGCATGTGTATGGTGTGCCGTTGTGTGTTTGTATTTATGTGGTGTATGTTTGTTTGTTCTGGTGTGTGTGTATGTGTTGTGTTGGTGTGTTGTGTTTGTCTCTCTTGTCTTCCTATCTCCTCTCTCTCCACGTTATCTCGGTTCTAGTGCGTATATTGTTTCTCGTTGTGTGTTCGTGTGTGTCGTTGCTGTGTGTCTGTCGCGTTCTTGGTAGGTGTTGTAGTGTTGCTCGTTTGTGTGTGTTTTGTTTTTTTCCTTGTTCTGTTATTATTTTAATAATATTATCTGTGTGTTGCCTGTGTGTATTTTGTATTGTAGACATGCTAACTTGTCTCTCCGTATTTTATGACTGCATTTTAAAGTCTGTTGCGCGCTTCCTTACATGTGTGCGCGTTGTCTTTATTGCACGATTGTTTTGTCCGCAAACAATTGCCTTCTGTGGCCTTTTGTGCTTTTCTCTCCAACACAGCTGAATTACACTATTTCAGTACCTCTCCATTACTTCTACAACGCGCATGCCTTTTAGTTTCTTAATCACCACATTTATTGTTTCGTCCATCGTAATTTTGTTACGAATGTTAACTCCTACTTATCTGTCATCATCTCACCATACATCAAGTGGTGCTACATTCACTATGTGCGTTTCATATTATCTGCAACTAAAGCTACATTTGACCATTTTTGTCTCTAAGGAATAAGTTATATTCCTCTCTCCTCTACACTCCAATGACAGTGTTGATCAGCCACTCCACGCGTCTTCTGTCTTTCCGACCTATTCGTCACCAAACTATATTTCTTAACTTAACAACATCAATTATGCCTTCTGGTTCTCCTCCTCCACTCTCACTTCTCTTCTACTTCTATCCTTATGCCTGTTCCAATCCATCCACTTCTCTCATCTTTACTCTATGTTCTCCCTCCCTCTCTCTTAATCTCGATCGCTTCCACCGTCATACGTTTCACTCTACCGAGTGCCTATTTATATGCAACTGATAAATCACAATATATAAGGACATATATTGCACTAGTTTTTTTTCTCTATGAGCCCTTTCACAATCAAATGATGAACCACACTATCCTTACGATTACACCATAAGACCGCAATCAATCTTCGATTATAGATGAATTTTAATCACGCCGCTTATTTGGCTGTTCTCACGCAGGAGCGGCGCCATTTTCCGCAGAACCAAAAACGCCTTCCCCAATTCGGATATATTAAACCCTGGGATCAGCGCCCATAGGCGTGTCAGCGCATGTCTTGGGTGAGGAGAGCTGATCGGGTCAGCCTCTAAGCCATTTGAAATTGCCACGTCACTTGTCCAAAAATTGAGGCTCCCTCATGTGATTTGAAAGCAGACACAAGCGGTCCCCTGTTCATTCACAAGCTTTAATCATCACGGACAACCATTATGGAAAAGTGACGATAAAAATATCGAGTATGATGTTGTTGTATGACGATGCTGCACTTACCGTCGGTATTATGTAAAAGGAATTTAATGTTCGCACGTAGTTATGTTCTATGCTTTTGGACAAGTGGTGCATTTTTATTTCGTGTTCTAGTGTATTAGGGAGTCCTGATTCTTATTTCAGTCACGTTTCGAACACTGTATGTTTCGAAGTGTGTTGTCTTGGAATATAAATTATCATATATATATGAGTATATGATATTATCCTATATACTCTACTCTACTCGCTTGCATTGTAACCTACAGGTGTTCGTGCAGCATATACCATACCTGCAGTACTATTGTATATCCTATCACTATTATATCCGCGTGAGTAAGTATTGCGCTTACCAATATAGTAACGGTGCTCTGCGCTGAGTGCGTGTCTATGTTTTACGTGTGGTCGTGTTACTTGATGTTACTTTATTAATAGTGTATGGGTTGTGAGGTATCATATGGGGGTACTTATCTATTAGGGTATTATCTTGTTATATATCTATATATATATATTAGTATTATCATTAGTTGACATAATTAGCCGTATAGTAGTCACATTGACATGAATGTTCGGAGGTATATGCTAAGCGGTAGAAATTAAGATACGTGAATTACTAAATCGAGAAGAACAGGGAAGATAAGTGAAACATAGCATCACTCGAGTCTAGAGCAGGTCATAGCGTGACTATATATTAATAATGTCTAATCGCATATTATAAGCTGAAATTATAATTGAGGTTACTATATTGGATAGTAATAAATATATCCATAACTCCGACCATGAGGTGAGAATAAGTACAACAGAGCATGAAGTAAATAAGTAGGAGAGACAGAGAGAGGCTATAAATATATAATAAACGGTAATAGATACACTAGTGTACGCGAATCGGAGAGACTATAATGTGGGCTTATATCTATATATATAAGTTAACGGATATATAGAAATAGACAGAACAGAGTAAAGCTAATAATACTATATATATACGAATATATAGAGAAGAGGCCAGTAAGACAGTAAGATGAAAATATATACTAGTGAGTGAAATATTATATTATATATATATAAAGATAGAAATATGAAGTATTGTTTATTTGTATTGTAGTTATTAACGATATTATTGTGTGATGCTATATATATATATATTACCTTATATATGCACAACTAATATATTACATAGTATGCAGGTGTCACGCTTGAGAGGCAGTATATTATGGAATGTTCGGTAGGTGTTGCATAGTAATTAGTCTATATATATATATTATCTTACTAATTAGCTATATGTCTCTCAATAGACTAGCCACAGAGTGAGCTGAGTCTATCTGCAGTACAAGATAATAGCCCTTATAAATATAATATGAAATAGTGATGTTAAGAACCTTAATGGAATATATTACTAGCAGATGAATATACGACACACACACGCAGCAACACACACAACCACTCACACACACACACACACACACACACACCACACACACAACACACAGCACACAAGACGAACACACACCACCACGATCTAGAAACCATCACATCACCTACGACAGGCAACACACGATCACAGTGAGAACCCACCCACACACATGCATGACATCTCACGAATGCACAGCACATCACACGAGACCTCCATCAACACCCCACCCCCCCGCCCCTCCCGACAGAGAAACCCACGACAGCCATCACCAAATAATATCTGAGCACACACAACACACAGCACACACGAGACACACAGCGACACTGACGACATGACGACACACAGCACAGCACACACAGCAACAGACAAGCGAACAGAACAAAACAACACACAAACACACAGTTCACACCCACGATACACACACAACACAACAGCAGCGAAAAGACACAGCAACACACACACAACCACACACCGCACCAGCACAGACACAACACGAGCACACACACAGCAAGCAACACACACCAACAGCGAGAAAGAGTATATAAAAAAAGTGAAGAAGTATTATAGATAATAAAATTATAATATATAATATAGAGTAGAGAATATAGAGATATAACATATACTAGTGTAAGTAAGATAGAGGTAGAGTAATGAGGAGTATGAGTATATTAGAGTAATAGAGAAGGATATAAATATAAAGGATATAATATAATGTATAGTAATTATATATATATATATATATATAATATATATATATATATCTGTGTGTCTGTGGAGCTAATAATAGTGAGTAAATAGAGGGAGAAAAGAGATATAGATGAATAGGTAGCAGAAAAATATAATATAGAGGTATAGTAGTAAGGTAGTGGATATATATATATAGAAATAGATACATAAGTGATAATATAATATAGAGAATATAAAGCTAATACTATATAGTATGACTACTATATATATTCAACGCTACCGCCCTATACTATATATAAATACCTTTCCTATTATACCTACCACATTAGACTATCTCGTAGCTTATAGTTAATAATATGAATATATACTATATATATGTATGTATATTGTATATATGACTCAGTTATATATATATACTTGCTGTATATATAATTATATATGTATTATGTATTCTCATGATATACTCTAATATTATAATAGCTATATTATTTACTAATTAATATATACTATATATAGTTATGTGTAAACTATATGTTCTTAGTATAACAAGTATATTATAATATATGTATTATGTATGTATGTATGTATGTATGTATGTAGGTATTTATGTGTAACAACCTTTCCTTATTCCTATGTATCGTTAGTATTGTAGTTGCTTTCATTTATAGTCCCTACTTCTTTTTACTACTCTTCGCCTCTACCTTCCTCCTCACCCTTCACTATACCCCTCCTACTACATATATTCCCCCCTCCTCATCCTTCACTTCCTCCTCATATACCCTCCTATCCTCCTTCCTTCCATCTCATATACTGCTCCTTATTCTGCCTATGTCCTCCTCCTCCTTCCCTTACTATATAGTATATATATCAATCTCCTCTCACTCACTCTCCTTATATATATATACCTTTTACCTTACCATTATCTCATATCCCCCCTCCTTATCTACTTCATTCATGATATCTGCACCACGCTTAACTCACTATATTACCTCCTTCCCCTCACCTTCCACCCTCCTCCTCTCACTAACCACCCCCCTCCTATATATGTATACACTCCTACCTTCTACTTATCACTCCTCCTTATATATACTATACTCATCTTATCACACACATCCAATACCCACACACACCTACCCACATCATCCCATACCTCACCTCCTTTACGTCATACCTAACCTCACTCCTCACCTATCACTCCTTACTCTCCTCCTCTCTCTTCCCACTCCTTCCTATCCCCAACTACTTCCCTCCTCCTTACCTCCTCCTCACTCCTTACCTTACCTCCATCCTCCTCTAACTCTCCCTTACCTTCTAGTCCACCTCTACTCCTCTTCCTGATACTATCCCTCACCTATAACATACCTCCTGCTTCGTCTCTGTCGTCCGTTCGCCCTCCTCCTTCCATCCTGCCAGTTGCCTCCACCATCGATGCTTTCTACCTTACCTCACTTCCTCCCTCAGTACTACCCGTTACCCTTCACTTCCCCTTATTACCTTCCGCCTTCCCTCCATTACGTGTGCCCACATGCTGACTAATACCGAGCTGAGTAGATCATCTAGTAATAACGAATAAAATAGGTATATATATCACACCACCAGCACTACGACAGACAACACGGTGCTAATCCGAAGAGCGCCAGCGCGGTCGAAGCACAGAAACATCTGCGTGTCCTCCCTCTTTTCATTTTTTGATGATGTTTATTTAACAGTGAATAATTAGCCCTGTCGCATCTATTTATTAGGTAGTTTCTCTTTGCTACCAAACAAATATTGAAATAAAAAAGGAGAAATGAAAAGTCATGTTATTATCATTTAAAAAGTTATGTATAATCAGACATTATGGTATAATATTAATTCGAACAGATTGTAGCAAGAAACGACTTTTAGCTTATACGATTTTTTCCTGCAAATGATTATTCACATTGAAACAGAAAAATAGATTTTGATATGATTTATAATTAGCATAATAGTATTTCGCTAATAAATGTTTTTTATAATAATATATACTGAGGGAACAAATACATGGCAATCACCTTACAGGTAGATTATAACCACCAGTGTATATGGTGCAAATTATCAGGTGGTCAGGGTAGGCATATTATTATGATACGTAAAGACAAAGTTAAATCTTGCAGCATCCCTGAGAATATCCGGAGGCTCTCTGTCATTGAATATCTTAGGACTCTTGGTGTCGCATTAGGATGATACAGCCTATGTATGAACAGTTCATTTTCACAACACTGCGGCATTTACGGCCGAATCTCATACTTCATTCTACCGATCATGTTCACCAAAATCCTTATCATCTATCAACTGTTGAGTGCGCCCGGTCTTGCAAGCATGGCAATGCTTTTTCTTGAAAGTTAATCAGCACTGATTCAATACCGCTGGTCTTTTTGCACCCCACTCCCCTTTACGCCCAGCTGCACAGGATCTCAAAACCCGGTTCTTGTCCCAGGTCAAAGCCGCTCCCCTGAGCCACTCCCCGCCGCCGTTCTCTCGTCCCCCCCCCTTCTACCCAGGCCAAAGCCGTTCCCTGAGCCACTCCCCGCGCACTCACCGCCGCCGTTCTTGTAGCAGAGGTAAGGGAACCTCCACACGTTGCCGAAGCCGACGGCGTAGCCCAGGCACGACAGGAAGAACTCGCACTGGTTCCCCCACGTCCCGCGATCCTCCTCGGCCCCCTTCGCCGCCTCCGTCGAGCCAGCGGCCTTCCTCGCGCTCATCTTCCCAGGGCCGAATGCGCCTGGGAGGTCAGGGCAGTGAGGACGAGGATGGTGAGGCTGATAACAATGATGATAATAGTGATAATGGTAATGATGATAATAAAGATGATAATAATTATAATGATGATAATGATTATAATAATCATAATGATGATATGATATTAATGATGTTGATAATATTTATAACGATCAAAATAATGATAGCAATAATAATGAGGAGGATATTAAAAATCATCATAATGAAAAACTATTAATGATAATTAGAATGAAAATATAATAACAAAAACTATAACAAAGTAATAATGATAATAATAACAATAACAATAATAATAATAATAGCAATAATGATGATGATAATGATAATGATAACAATGATAATTATGATAGTGAGGATAATAGTCATAATAATGATAATGATAATAAACATTACGATAGTAATGATAACAATGATAATGATAAGAAATGTAATAATAGTAATAACAATACTAGTAGAAGAATGGAGAGTGAAGTAAGAAACTAAAGTTTTCGATTTAATTGATTTTTTTTTTATTCATGTTATAAAGTGGTAAAAATCATAATGATGATATTGTTGAAAATCATAGTGATGATAAAAAGAATGATGGTAATATTGATAATGATTGGGATAAAAAAGATGATGATTATAGCAGTAGTAGTAGCAGTAGTAATGATGATGATAGAAATAATGATAACAATAATAATAAAAACAACAGCAACAACAATAATAATGATAATGATATTAATAATAGCAATGATAATAATAATAATGATAATAATAATAATAATAATAATAATAATAATAATAATAATAATAATAATAATAATAATAATAATAATAATAATAATAGTAATAATGATAATAATGATAAAATAACAAAAATAGTACTAACAACAACAATGACTATAATGAAATAAGAATAATAATAATTTTGTAATAATGATGATGATGATGATAATGGTAATAACGATAATAACAACAATGATGATAATACCATCAACAATAATTATAACAATAACAGTAATGATAACAATAAAAATTATAATAATGAAAATGGTAATGATAATGATAACTGCAACTAAAACAACAATTATGCAGTAATGATTACAACAAAAATGATAATGATGATATAATAATAATTATTATCATATTGAGGATAATAATGATAATAACAACTAGCAGCTACAACTACTGCTACTGAGAGATAATGATAATTATAATGATAATTATAATAACACTAAATATAATAATGACTATAATAATAATGATGATAACCATCATAAGAATAATATGATGAGATAATGATAATGGTAAGGGAGATGATAAGAATAATAATAATAATGACAATAATAACAAAAAAGATAATAACAATGATAATAGTAATGATGATAATAAAAACAATAATAATTGTGATAATGATAATTTTGATAATGATAATCATAGTAATAGTAATAATATTGATGATGATAATAGTATTATTAATAATAATGATAATAATAATAATAATAATAATAATAATAATAATAATAATAATAACAACAACACTAATAATGATAATAAAAATTATAATAGTAATGACAGTAATAATAATGATAATAATAATAATGATAACAATAATGATAATGATAAGAATAATGATGATAATAAAAATAATGACAACAACAATGGTAACAGCAAAACAATAATAGTAATGATGACAATAAAAATAGTAATTCTCTTAATGATGATAACGATTATAATAATATTGATAGTAATAACAGTAATGGTGATAATTATAATAATCATAGCAATGTCAATGATTATAATCAAGACGATCATGATAATGAAGAAGATAAATATGAACATGATAGTGAAGTTAACGATGATACTGCTGACATGGTAACAGAATTTTATTACTAATGATAATGCTATGTTGATACCAATGATAGCGTTGTAATAACAGCAATAACAATAAGGATCATAGTTAATAGGGATAAAGATACCATAAGAGAGATGATGATGATAACATAAAATGACGAAAACGACACCAAAAGAGTAGATGATAACAGTATAGCACCGAGGGCAACGCTATGAAGTAGAGGCGCGCAGCCGGCAATTAAATTCTTATCAGCCAAACCTCCTCTCTGACCCGGGACTTTGTGAATTAAGTCTCCACAGACACCGCTGCCCATTCTAGGTAAATGCAGTGATACACCTTATCAATATTGTTCAATTCGTAAAGAGAGAATGGGCGTTTAATCCACTTCGGATGACACGATTGTATGAAATGGCCAACGCAACTTTAGTTCATTTATTGTGGTGACATATAGATGGCTCCACATATAGTGAGGCACGAAAGATTCAATTGTTATTCTTACTCATCACAAATCCATTCTTTCACTGACAGGATCATTGCCTTTTATTGATGCTATTAACACCATAATCACAAGGACAAGAGGAACAAGTAACATCGGAAACTATGACAATGAAAAAATATTAACAATAATCACATAATGATATCATTTATCATCATTGTAATTACCTCCGCCAAGGAGATTATGGTTTTGAAAGCATTCTTTAGTTAGTTGGTTAGCAGGATAACTCAGTAATTATGAAATATTTACTAGAAGTGTGTTTGTGCCCAAGTTAACCATCACTTTGGTAGTGATCCACATTATGATTCGATGCAGGAATTTTTTAAAAGATTCATTAGCATTGCGAGATGGGGATACGTGGATATCACCAGTGTACTTGAGAAAGGTGATTATTATTGTTATCATCATCATTATTAATATTATTATCATCATCATTATTAACATTATTATCATCATTATTCATTAATATCATCATTATTACCGTCATCATGATAATTATCATCATTATTATGTTTATCATTATAATTGTTACTATTATCATTATTATTATCGTTATTGTTGTTATTAATATTATTACTGTTATAATCATAATTACAAGTATTATTGGTATTGATATTGTCATTGTTATTGTTACTAATACTGTTATTGATATTTTCATAGTTATTATTACTATTATAGTTATTAATGTTATAAAAATCATCATTATGATTATGTTTATCATTTTCATTATTGTTATCATTATCATTATCACTATTATTATCATTATTATTATTATCATCATCATTATCATTAGTAGTAGTAGTAGTAGTAATATTTTCATTATCATTATTATTATTATTACTATCATCATTATTATCATATTTATAATATAATTATTATCGTTGTTATCCTCATCAATAATTTTATCATTATCATTATCATCTTAATCTTTTATTATCAATATCATCATTATAATTGATATAATCACTTTTATTTCATTGATACGATCTTTCTTATTATCATTGTTATTGCTATTATCATTATTGTTATTATTATCATCACTATCATTATTATCACTATTATCATTAATATCATTACTATTATTGCTATTGCCATTACTATTATCATCATTATAATAATTTTTGTTATCATTTTTTATTATCATTATTATATATCATTATGTATCATTATTATTTTATTATTATTATTATTATTATTATTATTATTATTATTATTATTGTTATTGCTATTATTTATTTCATATATTATTATTATTATCAATATTATCATTATTATGATTATCATTATGTTATCGTCATTATTTTTATTATCATTATTATTTTTATAAAAGATTGTTATTGTTATTGCTATCCTTATCATCATTGTTATTGTTATTATGATAATGATTATCATTATCATTATTATTACTGTTAATATTGTTATTATCATCATTGTTTTTGGTGGCATTGGTTAGTTCTAGTTATCATTATCTTTAATATATGATTATCACCATTGCTATTATCATTTTCATTATCATTGTTTTAATGATCACTGTCATTGCATCACTATTATTGTTATTATCATCATAATATCATCATCAATGTTTCTATCATTATCATAATGATTATCATTACAAAATTATGCATGACAGTAGATGGCCTTATTAGATGGCTCAGGGGAGGTGAAGCTCGACTAGAAATATCGTATCGTTTCATGCGAAGCACTTGGTAAAGGTTATGCTAGTAAATCCACAGAGAAAATCAAGCAAATCCAGCTTCTTTAATCCAGCCCCCTGGAGTAAATGGGCGGCAACATTTCATATAATTGCGGATGCTGGTTGGGGCAACGTCGGCGGGGAGTGGCAGAGGTTGCGTCCACCCAAAGACACTTCCTGAGGCGGGAGGGCGGTCCTGGTAGGAGCTTGGAACGTCTAGTTTTTGTAGCAGGATATACGTCACTGAGGGAACTAAACACAGGAGTTGAGGTGGCTGCCCTCCAGGAAGTGAGAAGACCTGGCAACAGTACAATTAGTATGAGTGGTTACACCTATTACTGGCTGGGCTGGAGCGATGGTCTCCATCTCCATCACAGCCATCTCCAAAACTCAGTAGTGGCGGTTACTCCAGTTGATGAGTGTATATTGGCAGACAGAAGCATGTTTTTGGCTTCATGTATCTAGTTACGCTCCTGCCGATGTTCACTCGATGTGAAGGTATTCAGTGTCAAACATGGATCTGTGGCAGAGAGTTGTCCTCAGCGAGATATTTCCATTGTTCGTGGAGATTTTAATGTGATATCCAGTTGTGATCGAGCTGGCTACGAGCTGCCTGTTAGTCCCCATGCTGAATCCAGCATTAAGAATAGTTTTCTCCGGGACTTTGCTAGGTCAAGGAAATTGAGGATTACTGGTTTCTGGTATGAGCACTCTAGCCCACATCACTGGACATGGTATAGCAATATAGGTGCTGTAGTGAAGGTTAACCACATCCTTGTTAGCGGATACTTTAGAACTGCAGGGTTTACCGTCATAGACTGGCCGTGGCTACCCTACGGGTCCACTTCAAAATCTACCAAATCTCCAGTGTCCACTCTAGGGGTGTTTCATCTGGACAGACAAGAGAGAGGAGTGTGCCCTTGGGTTTGCTGCTGTATCTCAAATTGATTTGTTGTACTCAAACACCTGTAGTTCTGTGGGACTCCTACACGCG